CTGATTAAAGGCAAACTATGTACCTTATTTGCAAACGCTCATTTTCTAATGAGGCGATGAAACCATCAAGGTTTTTAAAGCATTTAAAAGAAAACATCCTGACAAAGTGAACAAGAAAAACTTTGACCAATTAAATACTCTTTCATCTTATTTGAAAACAAAACTACAGAAACAAATGAAAGTGGCTTGATTGCATCTTATGAGATAGCAAAAACTGGAAGTGTGCATACAATTGCTGAAAATGTTATTAAGCCTTCCTTTGAAATTCTTATGAAAACTGTATTACTGCAAGATTCAGCAAATGTCTTAAAAGCATTGCCACTAATGATTCAATCTGAAGAAGAATTAATGAAATGTCAGCAGATGTGGAAAGCCAACTATTTGAAAAGTTAAAATTCACTAAATTCTCAGTTCAGATTACTGAATCTATGGTAAGTGATAATAGAGCTATTCTTATGGCATATGTTTGTTATGTAGATGATTACTGTAAACTCTGTGAAGAGTTGTTATTCATAAAACTTTTAGAAACTGATACCACTGTATTATCTGCAAACTCTTGGTTTGATGAAAATCAAGTACATTTTGAAAACTTGGTATCCTGAACAATGATTGGTGCTCCAACCATGTTTGGTAAGCATAAGGGATTTACTGTGCATTTAAAAAATATATATCCTTCTATTCTTGCTGTGCACTGTGTGGTGCATCGTCATCATTTAGTTGCCAAAAATATTAGCCATGATTTTTATGAGTCATTGACAGTAGTTATTAAAACAGTCAATAAAATAAAATCTCACAACAAATATGACAAACTTTTTCAAAAGTTTTGTATTAATACTGAAGAACAACATATAAGACTTATTATCTATATGGAAGTCCATTGGCTTTCAAAAAGAAACTACCTGGCCAGATTTGTAAACCTATTTGGTACAAAGTTAATTTCTTGGAAAATGTTGGTGAAAAAAATTTGGAAATTGTGCATTGCTAAATTGTTTAATATCTTGAAATTCTCTGAATTACTAACCGGACAAAGAATGCTGTATGAAGGATACAAGTGAATGCCATTTAATGACAAGCCTGAAGAATACACTGCATGTGGTAATGATTTCCTTCTCTATTCCATAATCATTTATTGAGTCACATATAGCATGAAGATGGACATTGTCAGGCAGCAAAATGACTGGCCAATTTCCTTGCCCACAATAGAGACTTTTCTTTTTCAAAGTGTCATTCAAAAAAAGCCAGTTGCTCACTATAGCATTGCACAGTAATAGTTTGTCCAGGTTCCAGCAATTTATAATAAAAAGCTAATTCCCTTTGAATCCTGTCAAACACAGGTCAAATTATTTGCCCATTTGATGCTGAGATACTGAAGGCTGTCCTGCATGTCACACTAATTCAGAAAACTCACTGTTTTTATATCTGTTCAGTGCTGTTGTTATGGAGCTAAAATAATTCTTAATTTTTTTTTTTGATATTCAATGCTGTTGTTATAGAGCAAAAATTCTTTTCTTTGGTGTTCAATGCTGTTGCACAGAATATTTTGTGAAATGAGGTCAATATTTTTCAATCAAAAACAACCACTCGTTTGGCCACATGTTACACAAAGGATACTGTAAAATGCATTAAGTTCTGAAGCTTTGCCTTTTCCTTCATATTCACCACACCTGTCACAAAATGATTTGCCAAATGTTTGGACTTTTTTGGGAACATTGGTCACAAAAATTCAATTGTAATAATATGAATTATCTTATGTTTCACTGGCAAAAGTTGTTTGTTAGTAAATTAGTTAGAATGTATATTACACTCTGTCCTTATCTTAGATAGACCATCCCATTTTAAATGCAAAGAGAGATGGTCAAAAAAGATATATTAGAAACATTGTTAGGTTTTAGTAAGAAAAAGAAAGTATACATAAGGCAGAAATAAAGAAAATGAATATAGTGTAGGTACTAAACATTCACTTGAGTTTAACATCTTCATCAGTGAAATAGAAAACCCTATCAATTCTTAATCTTTTCAATTGTACCATTTTACTTCTGTAAATTATGGACATTAGAAGTTTGCATGTTTGTGTGTATTTTAGATGAAAGGGCATGTTCAGTATGTAAACAAAGAAGACAGAAATATACAAACATTTGAGTTTCTGCTACAGATGCTTATCCTTCTATTGGTGATTATAGTTAAACAATGTGTCTCTTGGAAGATTTAAACATGGTTATGGGATGTCTGTTTTCTTTTTCCAGCAGTTAGAGTAAGTCAGTATAAGCATGATTACTATTGCCACACTCAATTCAGCCTTGTGTTGAGTTGGAATAACCAAAGAGAAAGCTTGACTTACTTCATAGGTTGAGGTTTTGGAAGAAACATGCAAACACCATGCATTGGAAATTGGGAAAAGAGTTCAGTTGTCAGTCAACTAGAGAAACTAACATTCCCCAATGGGAACATAATTACCATGTGGTTCACATCTTGGAATAAAAAGGAGTAAAATAGTGTTTGTTGTTTTATAGGCTGTTGCATTAAAGATGAGTCACAGGAGGCCCATAAACATTTAAAAATAAAAGACATAAATCTGACAAGTCAACAAGAGAGCAACAAAACAACAAACTTGTAATACAAAATTTATTTACATAATATACAATAGCAATGAATCAAGTAAATGGAGGAATACTGACTGGATAGATGATCAAAGATAATATAACTGGGACTAAATGTTAAAAGTAGAGTCCAGGTAAGTTGGCTGGAAAAGCCAAAGTGCGAAATTTCACTTTAAATGTCCAGTGCTTGTGTTGAATGGTTGCTGATTATGTCAAATGATGGACTTTCTGTAGTATTTAGCTCAAAGTTGTTTGAAGTCTGAAGGTAGGCATACAGTAACTTCCTAAACCAGGTGAGTTAGGTTGACAGGAAATGCTGATGGTAGATAATGTCCGATGATGTGTTGAGTGAACTAAGTGAGTTAGGTTGAAAAGAAATGCTGGAAGTTGATGATCAGCAGTGTGTTCGCAATGTGCAGTTGAAGATAGGTTGAAGTAACTGTATTGTTTGGTGTAGGCATTGTTATGAACCAAGTAAGTTAGGTTGAAATCAAAATGCCAAAAATGGGCTCTCCATGTGTAGTCAGAAGTAAAGAGCTGTGGTGACTATTAAATGTGTAAGTCCAGAAAAAGCCAGTGGTAAGTGGCTGTCGCAGCCATTGTATGAGCAGGCCCAGAAATGCCAGAAGTATTAAGGTCTTTTGGCTATTGCAAGTGCTGGTGAATTCAGGAACAAAAGCCAGATGTAGAAAGCTGATGTGGCCAGTGTATGCAAAGGTCAGAAATGGCAAAAATAAAGTAAGGACACTGGAAGATAAGGGGCTGTGGTAGCTGAAAGTAATAAAGGCCAAGAATGCCAGAAGTAAGAGTAGACAGGAATGTTTCCAACTAGACAAAAATAAATGGGCTGTAACTTTATACAGAACCCATCCAAGCACCCTGGACATAGGGGGTCTGCGCTCCTCCTCCTCCCTCCTCCTTCTCAGTGAAAAGGTCACAGCTTTATATACTAGGTGTGTAGTCACATCGATGAGCTTGATGTGTACTTAGTATCTAAAAATTAAATACCAAGTTGCTATAATGTATTAAAAATGTCATAAAATGTTCACAGGGATTATTTAGATTGTGTTAATAATAATCAAACAACTAAGAGAAATGTGGTTGATTATAAAATATAAATAAGTCTGCCAAGTTGCATAGAAGAAAGTAGGGTGATACAACAAAGAAAAACAAAGGTCCCAAAGTAATAACTCATCCACCATAAACCTGAATGGAAGTAGCAGGGGCACTGCGATAAGGCTTCAACAGTGCCACCTGATGATGTTATGGTTAAACCAGTTGGAGTAATTATATTTTCAGTTCTTTTACTCTTAGCATCATGGAAAATGTATTTCTTTTTCTTTTCTTTTTTATTACTCATTATTATTTTTTTTTTTTTATTTATCAATTTTATTTCATTTTTCCACAAAATAATGACCTGCATACTAATGATTGTTATTGCAATATTTTGTTAAAGTTGTTAAGCTCAAATATTTAATGATGCAATAGAAGAATTTCCACAGCTATTTTAGAATTGTGGAACTTGCAAGGAGCCTATTGAATCATTAAATTAAGAATTATGATACATCAAGAAATTCAAATAGGAAATTGTTAGTCAAAATGGTTTATATTTTAATTAATAGTGTTACTTGTAAATAAATTTGTTAACCATTCATGTTAATATTTCAATTTAACCATTATTTTCCAAATAACTCGAAAGATAAATATAAAGAAGTTTTTTCTCTCTCTCCCTCACGGGGAATATATAATTTAGTATTTGTTTTTATAGTCTGAGACATGCATATGTGTCATTGTTATACTCAGTGTTTCAGGACTGATAGAGAAGAGACACTTAGTGGATTAAAATGATTAGTTAAAATATATCTGTTTCTTTTGCGGTTCTGGAAAGTTCAAAACCTGAGTCTGCTTTTGTTGAAAAGTCACATATTCTATTGTTGATTGAATAAAGAGTTTGGCTTGTAATTCTAAGGTTACTAAGTACAAAAACAAAATCTTGACAGTGGCTGAAACATTATGTGTACAACAATCAGTTTAGTTTTATTTTGGTACGATTAAGAACTTAACCTCCAAGAACTTATTTTTACATGACTAATATTTTGAGGGGTGAAAATTGCTATTATACTTCAAAATGATTAATAAAAATAAAAAAAAATAAGCAACACTTCAATTTCTTACATCAATGCATTTTTACTCCGCTTAGGACTTGGGAGTTAAGTCCCTTGAGGGATTGTAACTCTTCATCCACGCAAGTTTAACTACGCTGACGTGTGTCCGCCATTTTGGTTGTGTTGGACCAGCCCTCTTTTTTATTTTCTACTTTCTTAGCGGTGACTGTTGCTGTCATCGCTTCTTACCATAATCTATCGTCCGTTAATTGTCTAAAAGATTAACCGATTGTAGGAAATGTTCAAAGTGTTGTTACGGCCCAGCTGGCCTCTGCTAGCTTTGTGCCTTGTCCTGATTTCATCAACCACGCTGGGTTTCTACCTACCCGGTTTGGCCCCGGTGACTTATTGTGAGGATGGCAAAAATACGAAGACTTGTAAGGTAAAATAAACAAATAAATATTTATTTATTTATTTTTTTTAAACTTTTTTTATCCCCAACTTTTCTCTTACTTTATTGCCAACCAATATTTCAGATCGTTTTTGCTTTGTTTTGACTTTAATTTAAAATGAATAATAATTATCTTTATTTATAAAAAATTGTATTTGAAAAGCCACTTTCGCTGTTATATATAATATATTTTTTTTTTCTGATAATAATGCGTAGAATTCTCTTACGGGAACATTTTCCTTTTCATTTATTGAAAAAAAAATTAAATCCGAATAAATTAAACTTATTTGATAAACTTTTAAAAACTTTGACTCTACGTCTGTGTTTAAACAAAACCTCTCTAAAATGATTAAACACCAATGAATTTACTTTTATTTTTTTCCTACTTAAATTTTTAAATGTATGATATCTTTCAACATTGATAGTTCTGTTGTTGATAGAAAATATTATTTTATTTAAAAATTAATTTCCGAGTTATGCACATGAAAAGGTTTTAAAGACAAATAAAATATGAAGTTTGATTCTAGTTTTCATAAAAATATCCTGTCCAGTATTTTTTTTTTTTTTTCTTTGCTGGTGAAAAATAATTTGTGTCTACAGAAAAATAAATTACGAAGTGCTTTAAAAATATAACTATCACTTTCGTTCGATTATTTATGTTTTTAAAGGTAAGTTTTTAAACCTTTATTTTTCATGTGCTTTTACATAACTCATAAAAACTAAAAAAAAAAAGGTTGGAAGATTGTTACATCAAGTGGGGAGGAGGTCTTCCGAGAAATTATCAACATTTTATACCTAGGTACGTGCATTGATTTGAGGTGGGCTAATCTCTAGACATTTATTGCTCAATTGTGGTCTTGATGAAAGCTACTCATGGGGAAACTATATATCAATTAACTCCTTACTTTCTTACACGAATCATGTGCGCATTAGTTGTTTTTTCTTTATTAAAATAAAATTATGTAGTTATTTCGCTGTGTCAATCTTTCTTTATTACGAGTTTTTAAGCCTCTTTTTCTTTCTTTTTTTTATGTCCTAATTTTCAAAAAGCTATAATAGTTGAGGGGATAAAAATTATTACAGAAAAACACAACTTTGTGATATACCTCACTCTGCTGATTGTAATTAGACTTTAAACTTTGCATTATGAAACCGTGTAAGTTTTGGTCATAATAACAAGTGAAATTAAGGCTTTAAAAATGGTTTCATCATTATTTTTTTAGATTTATTTTTTCAAGTTTATTCATTAATGTTTTTAGTTATTAAAGTTACAGAGTCTGAAATGGAGAAAAAAAACTCAGATGTTTTGTTATCAGTTCTACTTAGAGAATCAATTAAATAAATAAGGTTAAGTACTTTTTTTTTTTTTTTTTTTTTTAATGCTGAAACTGAAAATAGAACCCGTCAGTTACGTTTCATCTTAATTTGTTTATCCTGTGAATTGATTATAGTCGTTTTTGTGATGATACTACTTTTGTGTAAGCTTCTTCTTTTTTTCTGCATCAGTAATTTTTATTTTTTTAAGTCACTGAGAAAATAGCCTTTTTAATTTCTAGAAAGTTTTTCATTTAATTCCATCCCTTCATAAAATTCATTTTATTTTTTTTTACCTTAGTGTTTTTTTTTTTTTAATTTATTTTTTCAATAATTGAGTAATTTTTTAACCTGTTAGAGACTAAGTCATTGTCTCGTAACCAGCCATGCGGAACGTAAAGTAGACATAGCCACCGTTCGACACATGTGTGTACCTAATTTATTATAATCTCAGTGTAGTTGTTGCGATTTTATTTTATTTTTATATTCATTAAAAAACAAACCTGCAATTTGATATATAGCAAGTAAATGTCATCCTTGAGGACAATAGTCACCTTTTTTTATTATTATCCACAATCTTTCTCTCTCTAAACCTAATTCAATTGACGTGGCAAACAAAAAGTACGAATATTTTAAACTTGTTACACCTTTTTTGTTTGAGTTTAAAAAAAGAAAAAAGTTTGTCATTTTATTTGTAAACGATTTTCACAACTGGTAATGTCAGTTTCCATTTTCTTCTAGTCTCCAATTTTTACAACTCGTTATTGATGTAATTGTAATTTCACTTGAAATTGGTATTTTTTTCTAGTTTCGTCTAAATTAAATAAAATGTTAATTCTGTTTTTAAAACATCTTTCTTACAAACTTAACAAATGACACGAATGATAATTAATTTCTTTTTCGGATGGTCTTACTGGCGATTTTAACTCTTTTCAAAATATAGAGAGGAAAGAAAAACAGTTTTTGTTTTGGAACTTTTGTTGTTTCTTTTCTCGGTGCACTAAGTATACTTAATTTAACTTCCCCGTGAACTAAAATTTACATTTGGAAACTTTGTATCACCAATGCGTTTTTTTTTTTTTTTTTTCCAAAAAAAGCAAACAATCGTACCTTTTTTTTTTTTTTTTTTTTTTTTTTTTTTTTTTTTTTTTTTTTTTTTTTTTTTTTTAACCCCCCAAATGCCATAAATCAGAATTATCCGATTCAAATGAGATATTCAGTACTTACTAAAAAATTAATTAATAAATTGTACTGGATATGCTAGTATTTTATTAGAAAACATTGGGAATATTTGGATCTTTCTGTCTACTTTTTTTTTTCTCGATATGGCGTGTGTACTTTTTAATTTGAGGTGCAAAAATGGAAATCTTTTTTACAGTTACATAAAAAAATGATAAATGCGTTTATCGGTGATTTTAGGAAATCTGTGGCGGTATGTAAAATTCGAAAATAGCCAAATATTAAGCTTAAGCAGGATATCAAGGTGGTCGAAGTACACAATTGAGGGGTTCATGCATAAATTAATAATTAATGTTTTAACTGTTATTATTAATAATGAATACTAAATATGAGCACTGATTTATTTGATTAATCAAAAGTTAATAATTTAGGAAGCTGTTAGTGTTCAGTGCTTACGGTAAATTTACAATTTATCAGGTCATCCCATAAGTTCTGTCCGAATTTTAACTTTTTGTTAAAATGAACGAAATTTAAAGAGTATTTTATAATGTCTAATGGAACTGAACATTATTTTTATGTTTAGATGCATTTAAACTGATCAAATTTTATTTCAGAGAACAATAAAATTAAATTTTGTTTGATTAAAACCCTGCTAACATGGAAGTACCCAAGAATCATTTGAGGCACATGTCACATAATGCTTTATGAGTTCAAGAAAGGAAACAGAGCAGCCGAAGCAGCTAAACATTCACTCGGTTTATGGAGAAGAATGTGTGAATGAAAGAACTTGCAGAAGAATATGGTTTGCAAAATTCAGAGGTGGAGTTTTCACCCTTGAAGATGAAGATCGAACCGGACGTCCAGTTGAGTTTGATGAAAGAAAAGCTTCTTGAAGCAGCTCTTGAAGAAAATCCTGCTTTATCAGTTGAGGAATTGGCAGCGGTTCTCAGTTTAAACCATACAACTGTTCATCGTCATCTTCAACAACTTGTAAAAGTTCCTAAACTTGGAAAATGGGTGCCTCATGAATTGTTTGAAAACAACCTCAAATCCCGAGTTGACATCTGCTCTTCTCTCCATTCTCGCCAACTTGTTTAGCCTTTTTAGTTTTGGATAGACTTGCGACTGTCGACGAAAAATGGATCTTTTATCGAAATGTTAAGCGTCGTAGACAGTGGCTTGGTAAAGGAAGGACCCCAGCCACAGCCGAGAAGGGAACTTCATGGGCAAAAGGTTCTTCTTTCAATCTGGTGGGATCGCCAAGGAATAATCCACTTTGAATTCTTACCACCTAATTCCTCATCCACCTTATTCTCCCGATCTTGCTCCTTCAGACTACCATTTGTTTCGTAGCTTACAGAATCATTTGGAAGAAACAGCTTTTGTAACACAGGAAGAGGTTAAAACTGACATTTGTGAGTTCTTTGAATCAAAGCCAAAAGAATTTTACAGTAATGGAATTAGTAAGCTTGTTAATAGATGGAAGGAAGTCATAGATAATCAGGGAAAATACATTGTTGATTGAATTTGTAATTAAATGTAACATTTGGTCATTTGTTTTCTTTATTCAAAATTCTGACAGAACTTATGGGATGACCTGATAGTTTTCTTTTGCACCCAAGATTTTTTTTTCTTTTTTCTTGATTTTCTTTTTCATCTTAACTAAGCATTCATGTTTTTCTTTTTTATTTATTTTTAATAAATTCATTTATTTTTTCCAGAATTCTGAGAAACACGCAAAATTTAAATTTTGGAAAATTTATCAAACGTAATATTTTGGGAGAAAATTTATGATTTTTTTACAAATCCAAATCAAATATAATTAATAAACTGCGCAAGTTCAATTATTCAACATTTGTCTTAAAAAGTTATGTAGATGAGAAAATTCTTTAGTAGTGACTTCAATTTTTATCCATCAGAAAAAAATACTTCTATCTCGTCCCACTCCAGGTAAAAACTAAAATTTTACTAAAATATTTCAGGAAGAGCCAAAAAGTTCGAAGAAGCAGGAAAAGTTCCAATAGACTCCCTCCCCCTCAACATTCATTCCTTCATATAGGATGGGAATAATTCATTTCGTGACTTCTGAAAGAGTTTTCACAGAGATTCTACATCTTGTGCGCGTTATGTGAATCCGCAAAAGTTTTCTTGTTCAGAAACGTAAGGGAGGTAATTCATTATTATGAATTAGACCGATTAACTTGTATACCTGAGAATTCAGTAGTCCCTACTCTAGACACTTTAGTTTAGTCTAGAGATGGATAATCTTAGTTTGTTCGGTTTAAATACGTTGTCCATTGATTAATAAATTTAAATAAAAACTAATCCTAATACAAGTTTTTATTTTTATTAAATTTATTGACTACATTTTTAATTTCGACGAAAACGAAAGCTGACAAGTTACCCAACCAATGTTTTCCCTCAGGAAAGGGACCAATTTTCATTTCATTTCACAATCAATACGTATAGTCTTTTTCGTCTTTTAAATATAGAACTTTAGCTTGCATTTAACACTCTGTGTGGAAGAGAAATAAATTGTATTTCCGAAAATATGAGATGGACATTGATCTTGGCAAAAACTTTCTAGTGTGGAAAGAAAAAAAAATCTTTAGAAAATTTTAGTCTTTAAAAATAAGTTTTTGTTTATGATGTAGGTACATGAAATTTAAATGCTTAATGAAATTTTTACTTTCAAAACCTAATTAATCTTAAACCTTAATTTGTACACTTAAAAATAACTTTTTTGTGAATCAATTTCTTAGTGATTATTAATAGTTTCATATTTAAATTTTTAATGGAAAAATATTCAGTTGATAATTTAAAAATGTTATTCACCATTTGGGGGCAATGGAATATTTTTATGCATATCCTTAAATTGTTGAAAAATGCCTTGCTAAGTGAGATATAAATACACTACAATGGAACACTTTTGACTTGGTTCATTAAGCAAGTTGAAAGAATTTTTTGACAAATGATTGCAGTACGATTTCCTTTAGAAAATCTGTTCTTGTGAATTTACATTAAATTTAATGTAATTTTTTTTCATTTGTTCTTGATAGTCTTAAAATAATATTAATAAAAATGTGAAATTCATAACAAATTACTTTTTTAAAACTAAGATATGAAAAAATGGATAACTGTCTCCAAACAGTTTTGAGTACTTTGTAATTTACAAAAAAATGTTTCTCAGTGAAAGTTTATTATAGCCATTTGTTACAATAAGCCATGTACACATTTTTAATGTCATTGAATAAAATTTTATTTAGTTATTTTAACTTTGCTTTCTGTATTTGAAAATATTAAATTTTTATTGGATAAACTTTTTTTTTTTTTACTATCCAATACTAATTATTATCCCAATAAATGAGTTGAAGTTGAAAATATAACATATTTTTCTTTTCTCATTGTCTGCTTCAAACACTGTTTGCAGTCATGAAATCTGGCTTTGGTGTAGGTACAGATTTTTCTGCTGTTAAATAAAATAATTTATGTAAGATAGTTTTTAATTTAGATTTTAAAAAAATCCCCAGATGTTTTCTCTTATATTGACATTATTAATTGGAGAAGTGCCCAAAATGTATGCATGTGTATTATATATGCAATTTCTTATTCATCATATACTTTTGAATTTGGAAAAAAAAGACAAGTCTTAATGCTCAGTTGACTTTGTCCTTTGAAAATATGCATTTAAGAGAAAAAAAATTGCAATTTGATACAAAATGAAAGAACAGTTATATTAAACATACCTCATCTTTAAGTTAAAGAGATAATGACAAACTGTGTATATTTTAAAGTGTAAAATCTTCCACTTTTTCTGTTGATACTAAAACTGGAATGAGTGTAGTGTTGTATCAGGTGTATTTTATTTTGAAGGAATAAAGAATATTGTTATTTGTGATATACCAAATATATTATTTCATGACTGATGTATTGTTAATTTGTATGCAGCCATCAAGAAATAATTGTCATTCTTTTATTCAGCTTATACTTTTTTCTGAAGGTTTATTAATTTTGGCTACTTTTTTTTCTGTTGGATTTACTCTCATACAGATCTCATAATTTTTCCTTTCGTAAGCTTAAAAACTTACAAAGCAAATGAAATGTGTTAAATAACTGGTTTAAATGAAAATAATGAACTAGTTGCTAATTTTTAATTGCAGTGTTTGTTTGTTTTTTTAACATCATAATTGATTTAAAAATGCTGAACAGTAAGCAATAAGATAGTCATGTAAACAAAAAGGCAATCTTATTTTCCAAACTAATTTACATGCAACACCTTGTTTAATGTGAAACCTGTGGATGCTTAATTAAATTTTAGATAGTCACATCTTCAATTGACCCATGTCTTTGAATATTTAAAAAAAAATCATTTGTCAAAAGTTAAAGTATAGTCTGTACTTAAACTTAAGCAATTTTGAATGTTACCTAAATTTTATTATTTTGGCTATAGTGACTTGGACATATAAAGACATTTATACAAATATTTCATGTGTTGCTGGGTGGCCCATTAAAAATTTGACATTAAACAACGACACAACGGTTCACATGCTATAAAATATTCAACCAACCTAACCTACAGTGGGTGGGGGTATGCTGAAAAGATTTTGGCTTGTCTAAGAAGGAATTAAAAAAAAAAAAAAATGTTTGCACATTTGATCAGGTTTGCAGAAATGGGTCAGGTTGAGAATTTTTCAGCAACTCTTCAAATTATGAGAAAACTTGTGTATTTGATGAGTAATGTATAAAGAAAATTTAAAATATTGATTTGCCATAAGTCAGAAATGTTACATTATAAATTATCTTTATTAACATTGTGTCTAAGAAACACCCTGTAAAAGCTACAGCAGTCAACATGATTGGTAGGTAAGTTTATAAATTAGTTTACAAATAGATGCAAACTACCAATGATACCTAACAGTACAATTCTTTTCCTTTGCTTTATTGCACTACACAGCCATTTCTTTCTTTTGAGAAATTTGCCTATGGTAGCAAAATTGTTGTAATTAAAACAATCTGATAACTTCAAATATTTTGGTAGTAATTTATTTCCTATATAGCAATCTAAGCATTAATGCATGATGATGGTATAGTAAACTTGGTGTTATGCATATGCATTATTAAAAATTTTTTTTTTTTTTTTTTTTTTTTTTTATGAACAAAATGTAAGAATATATTTTAGAAATTTAAATTTTTTTTTATATTTTACAAATATACAGTTAAAAATGTCAATGCTTACTTCACTTCTCTGGACTAACTTTTACAACTTTAACAGATTAAGAGAAGTCTTTAAAACAAATTTACATTAAATTTAACATCTTTTTTCTCTAAATTTTAAAAGATTTTATTTGCAAAGACATTTAAGGATTGGACATTTTCTTGTAGATATTTTGTATTAATGAGATAACCCCCCCCCCATACACACCTTTTCTTTTTCCTGAACAAGCTAAATTTTGGCCTCCCTTGTTCAGCTGTATTGAAAATGATTAATTACAAAGACTTTTTCATGGTTCTGATAGTGTGTAATAAATTCTGTTTAATTTATCAAGGTTTAATATTTTTATGCACTCTAGTATTTCAGAATTGTCCTAAGACAGCCTTAAATTGCTCTTTATTCTCTAATTATTTGCTGCAGCAAAATTAATGTGAATATTTTCAAAGATATTTTTCTATTGTTAGATAATTTGTTGATATACTACAGTTCTGTTAAATTCTATAAACAGAACTTTCATTTGAATTCATTTTGTTGGTAGCATTTCAATGTCCTAACTAATGTTGACTATACTTTTATCAGTACCTCATTAAATTGAGTAGTAGATTGGAGTGTGTGTGATTTTTAAATTCAAGTAGGTGTGGCTTTCACAGTGTTATATTCCTTTTTGATATAGGCTCTTCCTAATCCAAGTCCAATAACCTTGTGTTCATTGTAGATGTTAGTTTTTTGTTTTGTTTGTATTTCAATAGGATTGTGAACCTTATCCCAACCTCACTTAACCTCAAAGAGAAGTGTTCCAAATCAGTCTAGCCTTTTTTTTACCTATCCACTACAGGTGGATCCTTCTCGGAGTTTGAGTAACCACAGTAATAGATCTGGGCCACTAAATGACAATACTGAGCCAGCCATGTTGTTGTCGTTGATGGGTGGGGAACATGCCTATACACCAGGTCAGCAATGCACTACTAGCTATCAATATGTAATTTAATATATACTTGAGATCATTTTTTTCCTCTGGGTTTTATGTAATCTTGGTTTGAAGTTGAAATTGTCATTTAATACCATCATAATTAAAGATAAAAACTTTTCCATGCTCTGTTTATGACACTGACTGGATAAAAATGATGATTAGTATAATTTATGCAAATTTCTTTTCTATGACATGCAGTCTGAACACTGAAAAATTATAGTCATTAATCTTTTTTATTTAAAAACAGTCTATTTCTATTTTCTAGGGCAATTTTTTTAACTTTTACCAATTCATCTTAGATTCATTTTATATTTAGTCTCTTTTACTGAGAATCCTCCTTTTGATATCAATTATTCAAGATTTTATTGTAGTTTTTAATTTAACTAGCAAGCCCACCCAAAGTTGCCCTTGTATTATATCCGTATAACACAATATACAAATTAATGATGAACAATATTAATAATATTTGTATTTAAACTAATGTCACTTAAGTTATTATAATCATATTCGTTACAATTTTTTGTCCTTATTTTAATATAAAAAGAACTGTTAAGTCTGTTCTAAATCTTTTGTGTGTCCAGTACAAAAATAAATTTTCAAAATGAAACAATATATATGGCTTAAGGGTCAAAATATTGTACTTTCCTGGTTTAAGCTTGACACTATACACATATTAAGAATGTTATATATAGATGTTAAGAATGTTATCATGTAAATAACACCTGAGGGCTTGTTTGATATTTGAAAATGTCATTAATGTAAATTTTTCTCATTTGCCAGGTTTTTACTATCTAATCTAATCTTTGACGTTTTTATTTATTTATTTTTTTAAAACTTGATTGTTTTTAATTATTTACTAATCAAATTTTAATTTCTTGAATTTCAGTCAGAGATTCCTATCTTTGTCAATAGATTAAATTCTCCAGAAACTGTGGTACCTTATGAATATCATAGGTAAGTGATAGATATACTTTCAATCTCTTTTTTTTTTTTTTTTTTTTATCATGTTTGAAAGTTCTGATTGCTTTATACTTTGCATACTTCAAGTGAGTATACCTCAAATATATATAATTGTTTAATAACATGACTCTTGAAAAATTGTAGAATGTGCTAAAATACTATTTATAGTGCATGCAGTAAGTAAATAGACTAATAGATGCAAATGAAGTATTTGGACATTTTAGCAGTTTTTTTTTTTTTTGTCTCTCTCTCTCTCTCTCTCTCTCTCTTCTCTCTCTGATATGTAAGAAAAGGAAAATCTTTTATGCTAATTCTTTTGTTCCTTGGTATGTATGGAAATTTGGCTACATGTGTATTTAGTATTTAGTTACACAGAAGTAATGTGGAGAAAAAGTACTCTCAACTTTTGAATTTGAGAATGTTCTAACATCCGGAAAAACTGTTAGAGAAGTCTTTTTTTTTTTCTCTTTCTCTTCACTTGCTCACTATCTCTCTCTCTCTCTCTCTCTCTTTTCCTTCAAATTTTATTTTTATTTTTTTAATAGATATGTAATTCTTTATTTTGTCCTAATTTTTAAAGAATAGGATTTTTATAGTCATGCATAATTATTTTGACTTGAAGTGGGCATTTCTTTTAAGATTTTTGAAAAAATCTAAGCATAAGTTAATATTTTGGTAAGAAGCAATAATTGCACTTGCAAAAACAAATTTTCTCCTTTTTAATAAGTATGAGATTGAAATTATTTCTATGATATGCATGACCATTAAAAATTTTGAAAAATTAAAAGAAAGCAGTTAACTTATGATAGGTACCTCCATGAAATCGCTAAAAAAAGAGCATAGCTTGATGAAAAAGACGCCAAACTTGCCAAAAACTAAATTTTATTGTCTAAATGCTTATGTTATTATTAAGAGGAAAGACCAAAGTTTTTTTTTAATTATTTTTAAAAAATTTTCCTTCTTTTTAGAACATTCTAAATTTTGATTAAAAAAACCTTTTTCCTATTTGTATCAGCGGAACTAGTAAATAACATAGACAATTTTTAGCACGTTTTTTTGTATGACACACATTAATTTGAAAAATCGTGCAAAAATAGAAATAATTATCGGATGTTAATGAAACTTTCAGAAACTATTCACAGATGATCAAAATTATTATAAATGTTTTTTTTTTTTATGAAAGTCATGGAAGAAATATTTTTTTAAATATTTATTACCCCCCCATAACTAATTTTATGAAAACGCTAGAAATTGATCGCATCGGTTTTAGTGATTACAATAATTAAAAGCACAGGGCTTTGAGGAATGCAAATCATGTTTTTTTTTTTTTTTTTTAATTGGATACGCAGTACCTGAAAAATCAGCTCTGAATTGTAACATACAAAACTCAATAAAACAAATATATTATTTAATTTCAAATGCTTTTATTTGCTTTTAGTTGTTTTTATGAATATGGACAATATTTTCTGAAAGCAAAAAAAATTTTTCGATGAAAAATGAATTTTAATACAATTATTTGTTATTTCATTAATTATAATAGATTTTACATTTAAGTTGTTAAAATATTATAAAATTAGTTAAAAAGTCAAGATCGGCTTTCATAAGTGTCCTTATGAGATAGATCTTTTTTTTTTTTTAAGCGTTGTAAATTGTATCATTTTGACTAATCTGAAGATACCCAGTAATTAAGAAATGTAATTTTGTGCTTATAATCGAGCTGTAATTATAAAAATACGGAAGACCAACCAGAATATAATTGTTGCGTTATTTGAGTTAAGCATTGTTCTCCGCTGTTAAGGCCTTTACTTTTGCGAAACACGTGTGGAGAAGTTAATTTGATTTTTCAATTTCAACTGAGAAGGGTACCTACAAGTATCAGTATCATCTTATGAAATTTATATGATCTTATTTTTATATTAATCTCAGTTACGACATTTTTCCATAAATGAAATATCAAAATTAATAAAATGAATGCAAATACAAATAACAGTAGAATGTAATAAATGTACATAAAATTATAGTATTTTATGTACAATTCTGATAAATTTCATAAGAAAGGTACCTATAAATTAATTAGATACCTTTCTTAAGAAATATGAAATTTAATGTCACTCTTAACAGTTTTATTTTAATTTCTTTACAATATATTTCCCATAAAGCATCATAAACGTAAAGGTGAAAGCTAAGTACAAAAAAAAAAAAATGGGACCGCTGAAAGTTTTTTAAAAAATAACGGGTAAATAATTTGTTCATGTAAATGTAAATTATTTCACTTTTCTCCTTCCGTAGAACAAATTAGCCTCATGGAATTCAGAAATATATCATTCATCACATGTCAAGAGATGCGAAAGTTTATGACCTGCTTTGTTTTATTTTCAAATTACATCTTTTTTAGCACAAAAGCTAAGCTAAGTTAAGTTTGGTTCAAAATATTTTAAATAAACATTATAATTTCTTATTTTCTTAAAATAAGTTTTGAAAAAATGATAATTGATATTTAAAAAAATTTCAAAGTCAGATTTCCAGTTTTTTTTTAAATGGAAAAAATGGTCAATTTTGCTGACTCAAAAAAACTAGATTTTTAACGAAAATTTCGGACGTGCTAGGAACGATTAAAAATGGAAAAAAATACCCCAAAAATACTTTGACCTTTCCTCTTAATAATAACAAACATTTAGACGATAAAATTTTGTTTTCGTCAAGTTTGGCGTCTTTTTCATCATGCTATGCTCTTTTTTTAGCGATCTCATGGAGGTACCTAACTTATGACTTTTTTTTTTTTTTTTCTTTTTTTAATAACTAAAATACATATATAATTGTTGATTTATATGTATCAGCAACATTAACCCAGTTATGAAAAAACTGAAAAAAAAAATTGCTGAAACGGTAAATGCCTTTTTTTCTTTTTCAGAAACAAAATATTTTAGAACATTCTAAGCATATATATTTTTATTTATATCTGAATTTATAATTTTGGCATATCCAGTGCTATAGATGTCTTTTGTGTAGATAAGCAAATTTGGGGAATATACATGTAAACTTGTTCAAATATAAAGTTAGATATTAAAATATAAAGAAAGGCATAACTTTTTAGTTCAAGTGGGAATTTTTTTTTTTTTTTTTTTTTTTTTGAAGTGAATATAGTAAATGTGTGTAATTTTATGGCATATATGTTAATTAGGATACTTTTCCACACAAGATCTGCTTCTATAATTACTACTTTCTATTTAGTCAAAGAAATTGCCTTTTATTATATCTGAAAATTTATCTGCTTTTTTTTTTTTTATCATGGACATTTATCTCCTACTTATTATATTGGGCCACTTATTTGCTAATTAGTATCTTTAATGGAACTATAATAATGTTGACATTTCCATTTATAATCTCTTCACAATGCATTTCATTCATCTACAACTAGGTCAAAATATACTTGTGATTATTGAAATATCTTCCTGATTTTTCTTTTCTAAATAGCTTGCAATATGTTACAGTATTGTTTATGCTAAATTACTCTGAACAAATAACATAATCAGTTTTAACAGATGAATGAAGTATATATATATATGTGTGTATATATATATATATATATATATATATATATAATTTGTCATTACATCTTGGTAATCTTTGAGAATAAACTGACAGCTTATGTAAATATAAAAAAGTAAAAGGTAAATACCTGTATGAATGAGATCAGCGGTAAAAGCGTAAACTGCTTTTGCCCAAGACGGACACATTCTAATTTCTTGAGTAACTTAAAAACAGATGAACATCCTTTTTAGTTTTGTTATTTTAGATTGCATCAATTATAACTACAACATTAAGACCGTTTGGTTGTAATAAAATTAATCTTTTTACAAGAAAAATTTTAAGTTTGTTTTCTGTTGCCTTCATTTATTAATATTATCAAAAATGTCTTAGCTGTATGACCAATATAAATACAGGGGTTAAGTTAACTTTAAGCTGAGCTTACAATTGCAAGACTAAATATTTAATATTTCTTAATCGAAAACTGTGATTGCATGCCAGACACTTTTGACTGGAAGTTATTAAATTTAGTCATAAGTTTTATGTTGTACATGAAAAACCAGTCACTAGTAAAAATCATAGACAGGCATTGTATTCGTCTAATAGCATGAAAATTTAATTTGAACAAAACCTGCTCATTTGTAAACTATTTATATTTTCAAAGCATTGTTGATTTATATTTGAAAAGACAAATGTTTTTATTTCATGAAAGTCATGATTGTAAGAGGAGAGAAGCTATAAAAGAAGCCTTTTACACTTTGTTTTCATTTGTTATGTTATTAGAAGAATGCAATGCCTGTCTATGATTTTTACTAGTAGTGAGTTATTTATAGTCGTAATTCTTGAAATTGTCAAGGACAGGCTTAGCTTTTTCAGATTAGTCTGTCACCATATGAAAACTTAATAGGAAACTGTGCTAATGTTTTGACAACTGATTTTCCTTGTACTCATTCCTGAACTGTCTTAATTTCTCTTTCAACTGTTACTCTTTTCTTACAAAGTAGGTCATTAAATTCAGCATTTAGCTTGATATTTTTTTTTTTTTGTTTGCTTACAAAAATCTAAAAAAACATAGATACTCTTTACTATAAAAAAAATCTTTGAAAATGTCAAAAAAATCTGGTTCTTTTAATTATAAAATTTTCTTCAGGGATAAGTAATTTTATTTACAAAATCTGCAGTATTTAGATAGTATAGATATGAGATGAAGAAAATGTTTTTATTTTGTATATGATAAAGGTAAAAAGCAAAGGGATGTCATTTTAAAGTTGCATTTAGAAAGTTTATAGTTACACAATTAGTTATCTCTGAACTATATAACATGATAGCAGAATAATACTACAAGGAGGAATTACCTGTTAAGTGTTGAAAGGCTTTTTCAATGTAGATTCTCAGATTTACAGTATTTTTTGTATGTTACTAATATAACAAATTAAATACTACTAATCTGATGACGATTATATTAAAAAGGACAAATATTTTCAATACTACCAAATTACCAGAAATGACTTGTGTGGATACACTTGTAGAAATCTTCATTAATTTTTGATTCTTCTGTTATGTAAAGCAATAAGAAAAAGTATTCCAACTTAATGGGGATAATTTGGATTTATAAATTTTATAAAAGTTTTGTTCTAGTTAATGTTTCAGAAATATAGACAGTTAATGATTAATATACTGAATCGGTTGATAAATAATATATTACAATTCAGATGTTACATTCATGTCTGGTGAATGATTTTAAATGTAGTAGTTTTTTTTTTTTTTTTTTTTAAGGATACAATAACAGTAAGATTTTATTTAAGGAACACATTGGGGATATTGTAACATCTGTTCAGTTTTATTGACACTAAAAAAAAAAAAAGAAAACCATGCAATGCCCCTGAAAGGGCAAGGATTTTGGTATTTTAGATTATTAAGTAGGCTTCTCTAATTTAATATTAATTTTTGGATAATAAAAAAAAAAAAAGTTTTATAGTATTTTCCCCTTGTCTAAGCCTAGCACAACCATCCATTAATCCATCTGTTGGTTAATTCAAAATTTGCTAAGAAATATGATACTAAGGGATTGATTAGGGAATCAATAAAATTGATAGTGTTTGTTTCCAACCCACAATGGCTTTCAGTTTCAAAGCAAAGTTTATTAGAAGAAAGTGAGGTAAAAATTATTGACATTATTTGCACATGGATTATTGTCCCCCATCTTTGTTGTTGTTACAAGTTTTCTGCCATTGTGCATTCTGACCATTATCAGGTGATTGTTGATTCAGGTAACCTTCAAGGACTTTTGAACTGTACTCTTTATTTAATCTATAGTGGTAGATTGTTCTCATTCTGCTGTCCATGTCCAGGAATATTGACTATTTAGTATTGCTCACTCCTGTTTCCAGTGTGTTCAATTATATGCTGCCCAGCCCAGGGATTGAACTCAGTTACTATGTCAACCAAGGCTTAGGCAATCCACTAGGCTTAGAACTGAAAATTCTGAATCAAGAACTTTGGATTCTAATCCTAATCTGCCTCCTGATCAGTGCTACTGATGCTGTTAAAGACTTGCTGTTAATGACTCCCACCATATTGTATTCTGACTCTCCAGTGTTTATCTCTGCCCAGTATTTTTTACTTCATTCCACAGGTAAATGTTAGACAACTTGCTCAAACTAATCTCAATTAATATCACTTAAGCAGGAAATTTTTGTTAACTAATTAAAAATATCAACTTTATTTTCCCCTGCTTTCTATTCTATACAATATCTCTTTATTTATTTCAGTTTTGATTTCTGTGGAATTGATGAAACCCATTCACCTGTTGAAAATCTAGGTCAGGTTGTGTTTGGGGAAAGAATTCGTCCATCACCTTATGAGGTAAACAAAAGCTTAATTAAAAAAAAAAAACAAAGCTTTACCATTGATTCAGTTTTCAAAAAAAAAAAATCTACTTTATAATTTCATAAAAGGAAAAAGAATCTTGATAATTACCTTATTTAATAATCACATTGCCCAATGAAAAATACATAAAGCAGTTGGGATTAACAGATATTGTGAAGTTAACTGGGTTGGGTTTGATTATACTCAGAATAATTTTGATTTTATAATTTAAGCAGTAGGGGGTCCAAAAAAAAAAAAATCTTTATCTTGCATGAAATATTTTTTTGTTCAGAAACCAATTTTTCTACTTTTTTTTTTTTTCCTCTCTCTCCAGGTCAAATTTTTAAAAAACGTAAATTGTCAAAGTGTTTGCCAAAAGAAATATCCTAAAAATGATGCTGCATCTGAAGCCAAGTTATATTTTATTCTAAAGGGTATTAGTTTGGAATATCAACATCACTGGTGAGTTGGATTTTCCCACTTGTCGACTTTTACTCTTACTAACTCAACTTCATTGATATTTTTTGTTTCTCTTTTCTTCAAGGCACTGATATATTGTTCAAATTTATTACAACCTGTTGGGGGGGGGATCCTGGTTGTTGAGCGCTTCAGGGGTCAGGGTTAGTTATTTCTGATTCCCAACACCTCACTTAGTCCCTTACTTGGACAAGACAGGCAGTTGGAGAGGCCTGATCTGATTGCTCAGCTGGTCATGACAAGCCCTAGCACCTATAACTCTATCAATTTATATAGTACTTTATAACTAAATACCATATCCCAAATATACACCAGGATAAAATACCATCTCTATCCATTATAGGCGTTGAAAGGCAATGGCTGAGTGTCAATCATTTTGAAGAGATCTAGACCTAGACATGGCTGTAAACATGCCAGTTTGTACACTTATTTGGGAAGTGCAACAAATGGTTGAACAGGTGCTCAGTCTCTCTTGAATATGAGTATACTGGTTTGTGTAGCTCTGACCTGTCAAAGCGATTGGGTTTCCCCCTTAACACATCCTCATGTCAGGCTCCAAGATGGGTGGGTAGCACAGGCAATGAATCTTAATATGCAAAAATTATGAATAAAAATAAAAAGCCCAAAAGATGTCTTTCAGACTCTGATTCTGAAAAAGAAATTAATATGGAATTATTTTCAAGATACTTTTGTGTTCACATCCCTAGAAGAAACTCCACTGGCAAAATTTTCCCCTTTCTTGATTAAAAAGATAGTATCCAGTAGGATTAATCCTAAAACAGTTGAGAGATGACAATTTGTTGGTTGAGGTGGAACACAGGAAAGGGCAGAAAATATAATAAAGATGAAGACCTTTCATCATATCAAAATTAAAACCTTTCCTTGTGCAAGACTGAATACTTCTAAGGGAGTCAATAGAAGTAAAGAGGTCTCTAGCCACACCTTAGGAAGCCAAGGGGTCAGCAATTATCATAGAATCTCAAAGGAAAAGGGGGAAACAATTTTAACTGACACATATATCTTTATTTTTTGCCTGCCTGAAATAAATGGGCCACTGAAAATAGGTTTACATTTTCCAAAATGAAAACCAAATGCCTAAATTTCTGCAAATTAAGAAATGACTTGGGTTTAAAATTAGACAGAGCAGAAATCCCAGTAGTGGAACAACACCAGTTTCAAGGCATTATTTTTGATTTAAAAAAAAAAAAAAAAAAAAAGTTCATTCCCCATGTAAAATATTTGAAAACAAGCTTTACAACTTCTGTGTGGTGGAGAGATTATACACAGAAGCTAATGAAACATCTCCACATTTATAGCACACTAAACTGGCACTACAGTACTATGTAAAAATAAAATTATGCCCAACTAACCCAGCTCACAGCAGTATCTTTGAACACAACCCTATGGACTCGAGATGAAATCCATTGCTGAAGAGTTAGGCATGACACTTTCAAATATACACGAGACAGTTGCTGCCAGTATTTCACCATGGACTATTAAACAACCCAAAGTTCTTCTAGAATTACATAATCTCCCAAAACAAAAACAAAAAAATGCACCCACTCATATTCCAGGATAAGTTTTAGGATATATTGGCAATCTTCCCTAATCCTACACCCATCTATACAGATGGGACAAAATGCAAGGACAATATAGGAGCAGCGAGCGCGTCTCTTAAAGGAAAGGCCTATTTTCACTTCAGAATCTTATGCAATCAAGCTATCTCTCAACATTATCTCAGAATTCGAAAAAATTAGAAAAAAATTTTTTTTCTCTATCCGTCCTATTAGTTTTGAAGGAAAAAAATCCAACAACCCACTTATGAAAATATTATGCAAAATGAGTTTTATTATTAACAAGCATAACATCAAACTATGCTGGATTCCAAGCCACATCAGAGTTAAAGGTAATAATGAAGCAGACCTAGCAGCCAAATTGGTTTTAGATGTGAATGTGGATACAAGGATCATAATCCCATACACAGATTTTAAGGAGGTTATTAATAAATGCATTTAAAAAGGAATGGCAATGGTGGCAAATAGAATGATAACCCACACAATAAATTCTTTACAATCCAGCCCAAACTTGGAGAATGGTCGTCAGCTCCCAGAAAATCTTGTAAGAAAGAAGTGGTACTGGCCCAAATATTCATTGGCCATACGAGAATAACCCACTTGTACTTTACTAAACAAAGATCAACCAGTATGCCAATTTTGTAAAACTGCATATACTATTAAACATATATTAACAGAGTGATCAGATATTGCTCTCCCAAGACACAAATACTATAATATAAACAATATGTATGAGCTGTTCAAGAAACTAAAAGTGGTTGATATATCATTTCTCAAAATGGTAGGACTCTACCAAAAATTATAAACCAAATGAAAATGTAAAAATCAATTTCTCTACAAACCATGTATCTGAAAGAATACATCATTGAAACCAGATTCTTTACAACAGCCCTCTTTACAAAAGTATGTCAATGAAACTGTATCTACAGTTTCCTTAAAAAGAATATATATTCTATTCATATGAATCTGTTGTAAAAATCTTGTTGGCTTTAAATAACTTGCCGAGGTTGATATGCCATAAACCAAACCAATTTATTAATATTTAACTTATCAAAAAATGCTTAAATATATATTTTTCATTTGATATTTAAGGAATTGGTTCAAAGCTGTAATATTATTTTTTGTATTTTGCATAACTGATGTTTGAAATGGTGGTAAAAAATATTGTGTAAATTTTTTTTTTTTTTTTTTTTTTTTTTTTACAGGATAATTGATAACATGCCTATTACCTGGTGCTATGAGATGGATAACAATAAAAGACATTGTAGTACAGGTTTCCCTATTGGATGTTATGTTACCAAAGAGAGTTACAGGAAAGGAGCATGTGTAACAAAGGTTAGTGCCTATGTTAGCTTTATATGTTGTTGTTAGTTACTCATGTCAAGTTTGGAAAACTTCCTTACTGGTAATTTAAAAAAAAATTAATCTTTTAAAAGTATTTTTTAAGAAATGAATTTATATTGTTTTTAAGTTATAAAAACAATTTCACAGAAGATTTTGTATGAATGTGTTAAAATTCTTTTGTAAGTAGTTGATATTTGCATATAGAATTGACATCTTATTTTGGAGATTGCTGTGTTCTTTTAGCAGGACTGCATTTTTTTGACTATTAACAGGCAGATTCATTGAGAATTTTTTTATGCCCATACTTTTTCTGAGAGAATTAAAAATGATATAACTTTAGAGGATTTAAAATGATTATATTGTATTAAGCACATTTCCAGGAGCAAACATCTGAATTCTAAAATATACAGTCATTAATAAGTTCTAGTTATATAAAATTATTAAAATGATGGTATGTAGTGTTTGTTTTAAATTTGTCCAATTGACTTTAGAAAGTAACTAGCACATAGTAATCAGTTTTTAACATGTGCTATGTATGGCTTGTCACTTTCTTCTAGATCTAAGTACTTGTGTACTCTATTTAGGATCAGTGTAGTATCTGTTCACTCTGAAAAGTGTTACACATGTGTAGGCATCTGTATAATTTTAACCATATAATTTTTGTGTGTGCAGGTGCACACTGGTTAAATATAAAGGTGTATCTATAATACAAACTGTTGATGTTTTGGTTACTGCCACTGGGTTCAAAACTGACAATTATAACATTCATAGATGTGAAAAATATTTTCCAATACTACTGCTGAATAACATATTCATAAATTCTGTAGTAATCATATCTGGAAAAAATCGTTATTCTTAAAAAAAATTGTTGATGGGATACCCCCCCCCCTCCTTCTTACAATAAAAAATGTTTCAGCTTTAAATAATCTACGGTTGATAGGCAATTTTTTTTTTTTTTTTTTTTTTTTTTTTTTTTTTAATCGATCAATTTTTAGGTGACCAGATGTATTTATTTGAATTTTTAGAATATATATTTGTAGGGAAATATTAATGTATTTGCTGAAAAGTTATTCAATTTTATGATTTTTATTTTCAATATACTTTTTTTTAATAATAAACGCTCTCTTTAAATAGAATCTGTGGTAGTTTAGAATATTCTTCAGTTCACATTATTGCAAAGAATAGCTTAAATTTTGTTGGTATTTTCTGCATGAATCGAGCTAGAATTTTTATTGATTCTGTTGTAATATGTTTTACACTCTAAAACAAGCTTTGGTTTCTAAAGTATTATAAGTAAAAATTATCTAAAGATTAAAAGCAATTAAAGACTAAAAACTAAAAGCAATATATGAACAACATAATTTCATTGTTATAAATTCCAGTAGTGAACCTGTTACTATAACACAATTTAATTACCAAATAGAGATCCAGTTTAATAAACTATAAATATTTTAAGTCACATTGTTTAATTATTTAGATTTTAAAAATATTTTCTTGGGCATTTTTATTAGTTGTGATAATTTAGATCTTCCTTAACCCTTTTGGGGAATTTTTTTTTTTCCTTAAAAAATTGTCATATTAAAAAAAAAAAAAAAACATTACAGCATAAGAAAGGTAAAAATATTTTCTGTAATAAAATATTTTTCAGCCTAATTATGAAAAAAATTAAGCATGCCAAGAAAACTGCATGAATTTATTTAAGAACTTTCAATTAGTGAATGCTGATGGAAATTTTAAATTAATAAATTTAATGACTACTTTAATGACTGCTAAAAAGATATTAGCCTGACCAAACAATATTTTTGGAAGCTCCATATTGGTCAGGCTGAAAATTTTTCAGTACCTGTAATTTTAATCTAAAAATGAACTTTTTTTTTTTTCCCTCTAAAAGAAGTACCAAAACTGTCTAATGTCTAATTTCAGGATGCCTATTCTCAAAAAAATACCTATTATATCTTCAACCATGTGGAAATTGTTATTACTTATCATAGTAGTCAGAAAGAAGAATGGGGTGAATCTATCACAGGTAATGGAGGAAGGATCATATCTGCAAGACTGACTCCATATAGGTTTGTAACATTTTAAATATACTCTCTTCTTTACTACAACTACAATTTAGAGTAAAATCTATAAAGAACAGTATAATTGATATCAATGATTTTTATTTATTTATTTACATGTTCTTTTTGTTTTGACTCGTTAATTTTTAACACTAACGCATTTGGGTTGGTTGATCCTGTTAGACTTGTTGTAGTTTTAATAGTAGATCATTTAAAGTGTATTTTAAAATAAATAAAAAAATACAATATATTAACATTTTAAAGAAGAATAAATTCTGGATAAGATCAGATTGCTAGTAGAAACACTGTTAAAAATCATTTTATATTTAGTAGCATACATTTGAATAATCCTTTCAGTTGTCTTTATAAGTTTTTGAATTCATTAATTATAGGAAACACTAATGGTTGTTTGCTATTATAGTTTTATTTAACTACTAATGGTTTTAATGAGTTGTCATAATAGACTGTAAAGATTAAACAAATTCTCTCATCAAATGTAACACTCTCTTTTGTAGCTTGGAAGTAAAATAACCATTTGTGGAACATTCGTAACTGTTTAATAGATTATTTTTTTTATGTTCTGATATCTTTATATTGTGACTATAAGTAGCCTGCACCAAAATTTTTTCAATATTTCAAAAATTGATATTTTTCAGTATTAAACACACCAAACCTGGATCGTGCCAAGGTTCTCCCATGGCCATAAAAGCAAATCACAATGAAGATATCAATATCAACTACACCTATTCAGTTTCATTTGTGGTAAGTCAAATCACTACATATTTCAATTTGACCTGTTATATTTAGCAGGTACATATGTTTGCATAGTCACTTTTTTTTTTCTCAACAGTGAACTTGGCATCTGTTGGATAATTGAAAGCTTTATTAAAGAAAATGTACCTCTTGAGTGGGTATGAACCTGTTTTTTCCTTTTAACCTAGGGAAAGTGCATTTAAGCTAGGTGTGTTCTATCCTTAGCTACAGATATCCATAAAATTAATGGATATCCCAAGAACAAATGTGCATATTTTTAAAAGGGGTGAGCTTTGCTTTATATGATTCAAGTTTTAATAGGATTTAACTCACCTGAGAAAACAGTTTTGTCCCATGGCTAAAATGTGTACATTTCCTGTGTAGCTTCAATATAAAAAAAATCTTTTTAAAAAAATCTATATGCAGATTGAAATTATTTTATAAATTTCTTTTTCCAACTTTTGATCTGAAGATTCACTAACACTTGAAACTGCTAAAACCTGAAACCGACAAGATTTGATTATATTTGAGGATATTATTTATTATAAATTATACTTTAAATTTGATTTTGAATATTGAATACCAAAGAATTTGTTTTGTTGGTTTTTTTTTGTTTTTTTTTTTAAATTCACTTTGGTGATAATAAAGGATAAATTGTCTTTATTATAGAAAATATATCTATAATATATCAGGATTTGTATATTTTTGAAGTACATATATAAGTATGAAATTAATTTTTTTGTGTATGTTATTATTGACACCTTAACCTGTATATAATATTATCTTTCAGATGGATAATACAATCAAGTGGTCTTCACGTTGGGATTATATCTTGGATTCAATGCCTCATTCCAATATTCAGTGGTTTAGGTAAGCATCAGTTTTCTATTTGAAAATATCATGTCAGCATGATTATCCTAAGTATATTGGTTTATTAGAAGCACAATTCTTTACACTAGAAGAAAGTGTTTCTATCTATTTACATTCTTTAGTAGTAAACTTTCAATACCTACTTCAAGATCTTAAAATATCTCAATAAGATAAATTTGTAAAATTTTTCATGAAGGAATTAGTCTGGCATTTCCATGTGCAACAGCATATTAAATGCAATTAAATGACTTTTTTTTTTTTTTTTTTTTTTCTTAAACCAAGTTTTTCAATTCCAAATTTTAAAGTTGACTATTTCAGATGAAAGCTCGATTTCAATATGAAAATTTTAGATTTAGCAAAACCACTTTGCATTAATACCAAGGAAAAGATTGCTTTAAGAAAATAGTTTAGCATACTATATATACTCATATATAATCAGACTTCATGTAGAGTGCAAACCCCAAATTTTTTGGCATGAATTTTAACATCTAACAAAAAAAAAAAAATTACTGTGTATGGTGCAACCAGTCACTGAAAACTTAAATTTTTAAGTTTTATAAAGTGGTGCCTGGTTTGTAACATTCTTTTATGTTAAAATGGACTCTGGGTTTCATTCCAACAGTTTATAGCTGTCAGCCAACTACAAATCCAGTTTTTGGCACTATTTACCAACATTAAATTTTCCTTTTTATAAGGAACAGAAAATATATTTAATGTAAAGATACAAAAGCTATGAATTTGAGACAAAAAATATATTTGAAAATTGCGGCTAGCAATATTTTTTGTAATTCTCAGGATTAAATTCAAAATTTATTTCCTTTCATTTTTTTTTTTTTTTTTTTTTTTTTTGAAACGCTAGATACATTTTATAAAAAACAAAACAAAATGGATATGTTTTATCAATCTTGGTACATGGGTCCATAACAAATTGAAATGTAATTAGGTAATTTTCAAAATGTAATCAGTCTCTTTTTTTTTTTTTTTTTTTTTTGTCCCCCCTTATCTGTTACATTTTTCATTTAAAAAAAAAAAAATGATTACATTTTATAGTTTAACTTTTGCAAATGTCTTTTTTTTTTTTTTTTTTTCCCTTAAGTATAAAGGACTTAATGATAAGTATACAAATTGTTTGTTTGTGTGTTTGTTGTTTTTTTTTTTTTTTTTTCATTTTTTTTTTTTTTTTTTTTTTTTTTTTTTTTTTTTTTTTTTTATTATCTATTAGTAGTACCCACACAAAAGACTCCAACCTGAATGCTTAATAAAAATTTACATTTAATATTCTGTTCTGTTCAGTGCATGATAAACTCCACACTTTGAAAAGTAGTTTTCTACTAAGTGGGAGAAACAGACTGAAGAACACTCCAAATTCCTTGCAATGTGATTTGCTGATAAATTTTAAAACTATGTGATGGAGAGAATGGACATCATGTTCATACAACTTTCAATAGAACTTCATCTCCACCTCTAAAGGAACAAAGGAAGGAAAGATATACTGAATCTGATTGAAACATTTGTGATGAAGAAGAACCACTTCAAATGGCCTTCAGTTACAAGTGCCAAAGCCAATGGGTTGCAGTATACTATTACTCCAACATTTACATTTTATATCTCTACCCACTAATTAAAAATCTTAGTTCCAACCAAGGGCTGAAATGGTTAATTTTAATGGCCTTGGTTGAATGATAATTGCACAAGTGGTGTCAGCATTTGTCTTTAGATGGGACTTTGATTTAATATCACTTTGAAATGATAGGATATAGAGTATTTCATTGATATTGTTTATAATTGAGGCTTATAAAGAAATTCAGGTCATTAATAACTATTAGAAAAGGGAGTGCAGGAGGACCATTACAACTGTTCAGTCTTTTTGCATTACTTCCAATAAATGTATCTTTTATTAATTTCATTTTTCTTTTTCAGTTTGAAGATAAATGAGTTTAAATTTTACAATAATGTTTTAACGGTTTCCTTTTTGAGAACACATTTACATTGGTTGGATCTAATAATTATCGATTCCATTAGTATTATTTTTGAAGACTACTTTCATGACATTGTGTTTATAATTTTTCACTTGTTTGAAACATGCATCTTCAGTTATACACTGTTAAAATTGGATTCTGTCCCAATAGCACATGATAGAGTTGGTACCATTGGGTTTTTTTTTTTTTTTTTTTTTTTGACCTATCTGTATTCAAAATAAGATTTTAGTTTGGAATACCTCTTTTTAGCAATTTCTTTCAATAAGAAATTCTTAACAAAGTTGTCTGTTTTCTCTTTCAGTATAATGAACTCTTTGGTAATTGTATTATTTTTGTCTGGTATGGTAGCAATGATTATGCTGAGGACTCTTCACAAAGACATTGCTCGATACAACCAGATGGACAATGCTGTGAGTAAAAGCTGCTTTTTTTTTTTTTCTCCCCCCCCCCAAAAAAAATCCCGATTAGCTTGAACTATTCTTATCTTGCTTGTTATCATGACTGTTGTACCTGTACTGTCTTTTTCAGGTGTTGTAGTTTAAGGAATTTCAACTTTTTGGGGGTGGGGTTAGATTGTTCTCATTCTGTTGTTCATCATAGAAGATATCTCTTAATGCTTGCTTTTGAGTTGTCTTTCCCATAGTATAACTTCTTTTTCTCCACGCTACCTGACCCTGGATTTAAACTCTTGATTACCCAGTAATTTGATTTGTTTAATTAATGGGTTTACTCAATAGGCCATGTGTTCTGTAGGGGCAACTCATTAATCAGAACTTGGACCCTTAAAACTCAATGTCACTTGTCTGCCTCCTCAACTGAACTATACTATAATTAGACTTTAGCCTTTATTCCCCCCCCTTCTTTCTACTTTTGTGAACTTAATGTTTTTTTTATTAATTTATTAAAAACCTAGTGTTCATTTTTTTTACTAGATCTACTCAGTTCATTAGTGCCTGGCATGTGTTGAAACACTGAACCCCCTTATACACTTTGAAAAAATCTTCCAATCTTTATTTGATTTCAAAGCACAGTGATTGGTGACCTTAGTGTAGGGACCACATGAAAAAGCGATAGCTAATGTTTAAAATGAATTTTTTTTTTTTTTTCTTTTTTCTTAAAATTTTAATTTTCTTGAAGCTTTTATTTTAGTTTTATTTTCAAGTTGAGAGATTAAATTTAATTTTTCCAAGAAACAATACTATGCTGTATTTCAAAATTAATTTAAATTGATCGTAAAAAATTGTTTTTGAAATTTCTAAAGTTTTTGAATTTCATACCATTTTTTGCAAAGTGTTATGAAAATGTAAATCTATTAAAATCTTTCAAAAATAAAATATACTTTTCTAAAACTTTATTTGAGGAATATTAGCTGATTTAACAACTATTTGTTTTTAAGTGTTTTTTTGAAGTTGAAAATATCAGAAATGCATTTTTCAATTCTACGGTAGTTAGTTAATTTATGTTGACAGGTTTTTAACACCTGACAGCCAATGATGGATAGATTGTTATGTAATATTGTTCTATGGGGGCTTTTAACTTTAAAAAAAATAATTGGAGAATATAATGCAAGCACCTTTTTAAGTGCTTGGTGATCTTAAAAGTTTAAGAATATATTCTCCATAATCTAATGTTTTATTGAATTTTAGAGAATTTTGGCTCTAAATTTACTAAAGGTATCACTCCTATTTTCTGATAGTCTTGTTTGGGCAACCATATTTATAAAATTCATACATTTTTTTTTTTTTTTTTTTTTTTTTTCTCACATACGGAAACAATTCAAAATTCTTTAAAAAATATTCACGGGTGTTGGATTGTAATAAGCTTTATGATATATGATTAGTAAATATAGTTTTACTTAATAATAATCTTTCCTAAAAGTTACACCATTGAAACTGAATTTTAAAAGATTTAAACATATTATAAATTGTTCTTATTAAAATTTAAAAAAAAAAATTAAAACATTTTGTAAATTGGTTTTTCATTGAGACAATATTGTCTTTAGTATATATTATTCATAAAAGCAATTAAAAGCTTCTCTAATTAAATAATGTCTTAGTTTTGTCATTTGTTTTTACTTTTCAATTCAAAGCAGATTTTTGGTAATATTGGGTCCGATTTTACAAAAAAAAAAAAAAAGTATCGGTAATTGAAATTCTCCAAAGAATTATACTTTTAACTAATATAGCTTTATCAACTCAGGTTTACATAAAATTGATAGCCAATCTATGTAAAAAAAAAAAAATATTTTTACCAAGTTGTTGTTTTTTTTTTTTTTTTTTCTCTCATCCTCTCAATTTTCCAAATTAATGTCTTTCACCACAAAAGGTTTTTACTATGCCAAAATATAGTACATCCACTGATACAAGAAAAACAAGTTTTTTAATCAAAATTAAAATATTCTAAAAAAAAAAAAAAAATACAAAATTTAAAAATAAAAAAAATAATAAAGATTTTTGACCTGTTTTCATTATGTTTGTTGTTTTTTTTTTTTTTTAGATTTTTATTTATTTATTTTTCAATTTTGTGGAGATTCCTACCTTAGTGTATAATTGATTGTTTTACATAACAGCATTCATACAGGTCCTGGAAAACTGACTGAATTAAGGTATGTGTGGGTAGCCCAATTTAGAAATTTCCAAGACTTTGTGGGCTATTGCAGTTTTCCCTGGATTTTTCAAGCCCTGGAAAAAGCCTGTCAGTTTTTAAGTATTTTTATTATGCTACTTTTTCATATAAAAAATCTATTTGTTTTATCATAAAAATGTAAACAAAACCCAAAATAAAGTTTATTTCCACTGATTGGTCATTTAAACTAACACAAATTCTGTTAATTTTTATAATCCTAGTTCTTTTGCAAGTATTAATTGTCATTCAAAGAGTTTTCTAAAGATATACAACTTTTTATTGGGGATATTAATATATAATTGGTAAATACAAAATACGACATTTTGAATTTGGCCTACCTCAGTAAAAAAATCTTGTAACTTAGAACCTTTGTATATAGCTTGTCATTAAGCAGACAAATTTATTGTCAAATTAAAAAAAAAAAATCTTGAGAAATTAATGGTCACAAGTTTACGGTCAAATTATATTATTTGACCTTTAAACAAAAAATAAATAGATCGCCTTTTAGATTTATCCAAGTAATTTAAAATGGTATATGATTTAGCTTTGCAGGTGGAAAAAAAACACAAACAACTATTGATATTTAAACTTTGTTTTTATTTTCCAAAATTCTTTTTGGCAAAGGTCAAAGAGTCATATCTTAGTTTGACCTTGAGATGTAATAGGTCCATTTAATTCATTGAAGCTCTGTATTTGACAAAGAAGTCTGTGTTGGTAATGGTCATACTATTTGACACAGAATAACTCTATTTGGCTTAAAAAAGTTCAATCTGACAACCCCATCCCTTTACTTTTGTATTTCTGCCATAGAAAGCTAGAAAATGTACAAACATGGGAATGACTCCTAGACATTTGGGCATCAAATTTAACTTAAATAAAAAAAAAAACAAATCCCCAGATCATGTCCTTTGTGTGAATGATGTTTTATTTCCAGTGAAACTGCAGTTTTTTGTATGTTTCAAAAGACATTGAGCCATTTCTGATAATTTATCAGTGATAGATCGTTGCTTCCTTTCCTTGCAGATGACTTTTTTTTTTTTTTTTTTTTTTTTTTTTTTAGTATGATCATTAAACTTAAGATTTGTAAAGGAAGAGCACACTAAAAAGATAAATGTTCCAAAGTGAATGAATTTGTAAGAATTTTGTCAAACCGAAACATGCATGAAGATGCTGGAAAGATTGAGTGAGGATTTCTGGAAGATAGGGCTATGCAAAATTTATTCAAAAAAAAAAAAAATGTCAACAAAAGATCTGTTTGCATGCAGAATTGCAACAAAGACAATGTTTATCAGCATCATTGAGAAAGTTCTGACAAAGCCTTCCCTTAAATACCCTCTTGTAAGGTCTAAAAAGATGTCTTTCTCACATGATGGACAGAAAACAAGTCAGCAAGTCATCATCACTCAGTACAAAGAGTTTGAGGAGGAAGCTGCTGTAAATATTGCTTTCAAGAATGTCCGCAAGATTGACGACCGTCTGGACACTTAGTTCTATTCTTTGTCTAGCCACAAAGAATATCAGAAACTGTGGAACATTGTTCAGATTGCTGATACTCTCTCTCAGACCGGTTGACTGGCTTCAGTAGATAAAGGTTTCTTAGTCAATAAGGAAATTTCCACTGACAATATGAAACAGCACATCATCACAGACACAGTTGAAGGTTCCCATGTCCACAGCTCTTCTGTGCAGTGCTTTCAATGCCAGAACAGAATACAATCAATACCTTGAGGCTGAGAAGAAAAAAGGCAGGAAGAAGCAGCTGGACAAAAACAGATTTCCATGCTTATGGAAATTGAAGAACTGAAGACCAAAAAACACAAGCTTGAAAGTTGCACACAAGATTTGCTCAAGTCAGCTGACAGTTATGTGGAGAAAGCTGAACAGACTTAGAACTTCACACTTATTGCAAAATCCAATACCATGTGAAGATCTGCAAAGGACAAATCCATAAAGATATCCAAATTGGAAGAGGAGCTCAATGTTAAACTAGATAAACTGCAAAAATGTTAACATTGTGTTCCATGCTATGTGCAATGAAAGCCAGTAGTAGGGCTAGCTAAAATGTGTAGTCTTTTTGTGAAAATTTCTATTTGTAGTTCTGTTCATTAAAACCATTATAATTCACAGGAAATGTGCAGTAGTCGAGAATTTTTGTGACATCCACAAACCATGAGTAGTCTAGATAGCTGAAATGTGTAGCAGTAAGAATTAGTGTGTAATTCAAAATTTTCAGGAGTAGTAGAACTCCAAACTATGTAGAATGCTACACAAAATGTGTAATATAACTTGGTGTTCATTCAGTTATTGTTTTAGCCGTCAAGACTTTGATTTCTTCACTGCTTTCAATTGATTCATGTGACATAAATTATTGGAACCAGTTGTTGCTTTTCTTTGAACATCTCATCTGTCAAGTTTGTGTCTTTGAAATTGATGACCATTCACTCTGTGTGTGTGTGTGTGTGTGTGTGCATACCAGTTTCAGTCCTTGAAACTTCTTAACATAGTCCTGAAAAAGTCCTTGAATTTTTTACGCACACCTGTGGGAACCCTGACATAAGTATCTGAATAGATTTTATCAAATTAGTCAGATTTTTACATGGTTTACCACTAACTTCATTTTTTTTTTTTTTTTTTTTCCCCCTTCTTTTCAGGAAGATGCTCAAGAAGAGTTCGGGTGGAAGCTTGTTCATGGTGATGTATTCAGACCTCCACGCAAAGGAATGTTGCTTGCTGTCATTAATGGAAATGGTGTACAAATTTTCTTTATGACTCTGATAACTTTAGGTGGGTTCATGTGTCCTTAAAATTGTATTACTGAAAATATTGAAAACAAACTTTTCTGTATCTGACAGCATCTTGAGAATATTCTGTTATATTTAGTGTTGTTTTTTTTTTTTTTTGTTTTTTTTGTACAAATTCTATAATAACCAAAAACTAATGATCAAATGATCAATATTGAATCCAATCTTTTGATCTGGTCCCTTTGTATGTTTTTAAACGAGTCGGTGACAATAGCAGAGGATTACTAGTCTTTCCACAGTCTTTCTTTGTGTAAACTTTGAGCTTGTGTTCATGCTACAATGTGGCAGTAGGAAAACAGCAGGATTCAAGGTGGCTTTTTTTATTTTTTGTCAATTACAATTGGCTCTTTATCCCACACTAAAGCAATGCTACAATTAAAAAATTGTAGATTAATATTTTGAGAAAGGCATATGTCATTTGAAGTGTAAACTGATTTAAAGGAAGCTGTCATCATACAGAAAGCAAGGAAATGTCCAATGTTGTATAAATACTCTCCAATCGACTCCCACTTGTGTTTAGGCAGGTGACACAATCAATATGTAATGGATTATCAGTAAATTCAAGCAATAATGTAATTTTCAATCATTCAAAAACCGATTATGAAAGAGCGCTAAAAATTAGCCAATACCATTTCAAGCTATTCTTTTATGAAGATGACAAACATCTACAGATGTAGATGTCGAGAAAGATTCAATAACTAATAATTGTGAAAACCAAAGTAGGAAGACTACTAACTTAATTTTAAAGCACTTTCCAATGAAAACTTGTACTATATAAAATATTTAACAGGAACACTGTCAAATTGAGATATGACCGCACAAATTATGATGCAGTTAAAAAAGAAACATTATTACAAAATGCTGGGTAAGACCAGTATTAATAGTACCCCCTGTTGTAACTTGGTGCAAATATGATTGTCCTATCAGAGGCGGGTGTCTACAAAAAAAAGCCTAATATACCAAGCCACAGTAAAGGTGGACAACGAACCTGACTTAAGACCAAAAATCCTTGGCAAGAAAGGTTTTACAATCATAAAACCTCTTTCAATAATAGACAACATGAAAACAGCACAATACTCTCTAAGTACATATGGGAACAGAAGTCAAAATTTAACAAATCTCCTGTCATTGAATAGAAGATAAAGACAGTACACACTTGAAAAAAACCATGTTTAAATTTTCCTTGCAAGAAAAATTCCAAATTATAACATTTTCCAAGCAAGAACACCTTTTGATGAAAGATCCGAGTCAGCAAATATGTGTATATGGGAATTTTATTTCATTTTAATTCAATGAATATTCAACCATGTTTGTTTTGTGGGTGGTGACTGCTTCAGTCTATTCATGTGATGGTGGTAGTACCTATTCATGCATACAAATAAAGACAAAAAATGGAATTGTCTTAATTTTAAGCACCTTATGATTAGAAACTTAGTTATGTATATGCATATCACATTTTTAATACCCTCCTCCAAGAAAAATGTAACTTGAATGTCTACCTATATATATAAATATATAGGTATCACAAATGAAAATTTCAAACAGGTACTAGGTGTTATCTGATTGCATCTTCTTAATCTACATGATTAAAGAAACTTAGCAATTTTTATTTCATCAAAATTTCTCAAACCGTTTAATTTTGGAAGATTTATTTTTACACCTGTGCTCAACAGCCATTTTTTTGTCTATTATGAATTAAGACAAAATAGACTCCTATATTTTAAAAAGCAATTAAGAACAACAGTTAAAATTATACTTGCTTGTTGGGTACATAACAAAGAAGTTAATAGTAAAATTACAGATAGTATCGCTGCATATTTCTTAAATAAATTCAGTCTGAAGATGCAAATTTTATAAATCAAGCCCTCTGCAACAACGTGCAAACAACTCATAACCTGAGTCTTATTTCATAAAACTGAAAATTCATCACAAATTTCAAATCACATTATGACTATACCAGTTATATGCCTAATTTTGGGGGGAGTGATAGAATGGATATATTTTGGATTATTTCACTTCAAAATTGAAAAAAATTGCTTTTTAACCCTTTGTCACAAGGTATTTGAAAGGCTGATTTTAGACTTGCTTGAATTGTCATAAAATGAATACTTCTTACACTAGAAACATTAAATCTCTTATCTAGCCATTTCTGGGGGTGCTCTTTCCATCTATCATGGTTAAAATGAACTAAAATCAACAGATTAGAATGTATATGGAGCAGATGTTGAACAAGTAGTCCTGACTAAACATGTACAATTTCTGGACTGTAGAGAGAGAGAGAAGCTTAACACACACCAAGCAATACCCACCAATGAACATAAGAAAACAATAGAAAACTCACCATATCATGAAGTGGTATTCAACCACTAAATTTGTAACTGAAATCATTAAAATAAAGATATTTTATGTCACAATTTGATCAAAAAGTTGAAGTTCTGACACATGTTAGTTCCAATCACTACGTAAGTGGTATGAAATCACCAAATTGTCTCAATTTTTAAAACTGTAATGTTCCTCTCACATTATGCACATAAAAATAAACAACACAAACATAAAATTAATCAAAGTTTATTGGAAATTTTCAGTAATGGTGTGTTACTCTTCACTGAGTAGTCAAAAGTAAATCTTGGCATACTCTTCATACAATCCCTCTAAATAATCTAATTCAGGTACTACCCAAGTTCTTCTAATCTGACTAGTATATCTTTGCTGGTGTATCCAGTTTATATAGTTCAAGTATGAGCCCATTTGTTACTTCTGCGCATAAAAGCTTACAATCCAGTGTTGGACTCGATAAAACACAGAATCAATCTAACACTCTCACATCTTTCACCTATGAATCCCAAATTTGTTACCTCATGGTACAATGCAGGACGATCCGCTTTTGGACAACTCTCAAATTCTGCTACAACTTTTTCAATAAGTTCTTAAGAATGATTGGGAACAATTTATGTAGCCAAGTAATAGCAGAATCCCAGGTTTCCTGATACTTTTCTTTCAATGAATATATTTGAAGCAGCACCTTCTTGGAATATTCCACTTTAGGCAAAGACATCTTCCTTCCACAACCTTTTGTCATAAAACAACGTTGTAACTGATTCTGTACATCGTCATCTTCAAAAAGAAAAAAACAATGAATTTATAATCTTATCCCATTTTGTCGAAGTACTACTTAGTAGTCATCTACAAATTGTCTACATTTTCTTACTGAATTTAAGTTTATTTGGAGTTCATAAAAAAAATTGCATTAAATACAATCCAGGATAAATATAAATTTAGTCATCCATACACCTGAGTAACAAATAAGGAAGCACTAAAATATTTTCTCAACAAACCTATTTCCTCATTTAAATCATAAATTTGTATCTAGATAGCAATAAATCATAACTAAAATCCATTCTTTAGATAATTTAAAAATAAAATTTTTTAAACAAAATGTTACTTGGTAACTGAAATGCTGATAATTACTGTGAGAATACTGCAAAAACAGAAGACATTCTAGAATTTGGAAATGGAACTATTGTTTCATATTTGATTTTGATTTAGTTTCATAGATTATTAAATGAGTATTTTAATGATATATTTTATGTCTTTTTATTTTTACAAAAAGATGCTTATTAAAATATATGAAAATGAAGCTTAGAATGTTAACTTCAAACTAACATGTTACCAAATTTGTAATAAACCCTGCAGAGTGTGCATGTTACAAAATTTGAGGAAGTCTAAACTGTTGTCAGTGAAAAAAAAATGGCCAAAATTTTGCAAAAATTACCAAAATGTCTCTATTTTCAAACTGTAATGTTCATCGCACATTGTAGTACAATTAAAAATAAATAAAATAGAAACAAAGTTCATGAAATAAGCTTTTATTTGACATGCATTATGTTTTTATGGAGATATTGAATAAAATAACATGGCGAGTTGAATAGATGCCTTTTTCAGTGTTAAGAGAATTTCATCAGCTATAAGCTGAGTGCTGGGATACCTATATAATATAATATTATATATATATATATATATATATATATATTGTTGTATTCTCTGTTTATTTCAGTATTTGCCTGTTTGGGTTTCTTGTCACCAGCAAATCGTGGAGCTCTGATGACATGTGCTTTGGTATGTATACTTCTATTCATTTCTCTGTTTACTTTTTTTTTTTTTTTTTTTTTTTTTTTATAGGTTTTATAATACAAAATTTTCATTGAAATAATCTTTTGCTAAAAATATCTTTGTTTGGGCAACAGTTGTGTGTATTTTCTTTTTGGAAAAAAAAAAGTTAGTGTTTCATTCTTAAAACCTTTACTTGCCATTTTTCTACATGTCTGTAAACATTGTCATAATTTAAAGAAACTTAAGTGAATTGCATGTACATTTCTAATATCAAGTAAATTTTATCTATCCATATATTTCATTATTTTATAGCTTCATTAGTACATTATACCTCCTGTCCCTAAAAGAAAAAATGAATATCAAATGTTTAAATGACTATATTTTTGAGATGAGATATTGTAATAATTTAAGTTATTTACATTGTTTAGACTGTTGTCCTCATCTTTATTGTCATGCTCATGACGTTTTGGCCATTGTATGCTCCAGCCTTCTTCGAGTAATTGGAATTTCAAACTGAACCCTTTATTTCAACCACTGGTGTAGATTGTTTAATGACTCTTTAAATTGATTGAGCAACAAAAAAGGAAATAATAATTTTTCATTTACTCTCCTAGGTGCTTTATGTATGCCTTGGCACTCCAGCTGGATTCATCTCTGCAAGAATCTACAAAAGTAATTGCTTTTAATGATAAATTTTTTCTCTCTCTCTCATATTTCCTAGAAATAATCCTGAAAATAAAGAAAAATTGGTTTAAAAATGACAACTGAAAAATTCTTAGTTTTTGCTGAATTTATTCCAATTGTCATTTTTAAACCAATTTGTTTTTATTTTCAAAATTACTTCTGAGAAATTTAACTATATTGTTGACATGGAAAACAAAAAACAAACTCTTATTAAAAAAGAAGTTACCAATATCCAGAAAGAAGTTTACGCAGGAGCATCTCTTTTTCAATTTTGAATTTGATGTAACTATGGCTACAAAACATCTTATTTTTATTGCTTGCCTTGATAAAGTTGAAAGACGAAACACAGTGGCAAAAACTAAAAATTTTTTCTATAGATATGTTTGTGTTTCTTTATTTTGAAGAATTGGTGAATATATAGAACCAACAATAACTTTTGCAAACCCTTATAATGGACTAGACAAAGTGAAAAAAATTAAAATTTTAGTTTGTTTTTTTTTTTTTTTTTTTTTTTTTTCTAATCATTTAGATATGATTGTTCATTTTCTTTTTTTATGAAAATATAAAAGATATGTTCATCTTACAAAAGAAAAATATGAGAAAAAGATTGCTTCTTGACATTTTAACTTTCCAGTTTCTAACTTAAATTTAGAGACACTTTAAGATTTCAAGGGAATTTAATGTTTTACATTTAGTACAAAATTATGTTGATAATTATTTTTGATTAGTCCATTCATTTAAATTTTGATTTTAAGCAAAATAGAAATTAAAAAATGAAAATCCATTGACAAAATCTTATTTGAACGTTTATTTATTTATTTATTTTTTTTTTTTTTTAGTGTTTGGTGGCGAAAAATGGAAATCTAATGTTTTATTAACAGCATTTCTGTGTCCTGGGTAAGTAAACTAATTGTGTAATGTTACAAACTTGTCAAACCCTCATGTTTGGTAGCATTATATTAGTGATTTTGTTTTTAAGATCATAACAATGGAGTGTATGTGATGAAATTGTATGAATTTAGAACTTGTCTTATTAAATAAATTTTTAATGAATTCTGAAAAAAGAAACAGGTGGGTGCAGATGCTCTGAGTGACAAGAATTGACATTTTCCACATTTCTGAATATTCTGTTCTGATGCTAAGAAATGTAATTGAAATAAATCTTTCTGTCCTAATTCTCTTCTGGGTTTGCCTTACTGGCTGAAGAATTGCAATGTCATGTTTGAAGACGACATTTGTTTTATTTTATTTTATTTTCTTGTGCTTAAGTTACTTCTGTTCTGATGATTTCTTCAGAATCATGTAATTTATAATGGTTGAATGGGAAGATATTACTAGATGTTCATCTGTGAATCAATTTGAAAATTATGATTAACTAAAATTTAATTTTCTTTTTTTTACCCTCTAAACCTTTGGGAGATTATTTTTAATGCATAATGTGTAAATATCAGTTTAACAAATTATCAAATATAGAAGCTGAGCTTTTATGTATATTATGTTGCTGTTTTTCAGTTTTGAAAAAGGTTTTTTTTTCAAATGGAACCTTGTGCTGCCTTAGACAACATGCTAAAAAACACGCTGCTTTAGACAGCCAGTGTAAACTCGAATTCACAAAACACGGACGAATTTCATTGGAAAACGAAAGATTTTATTCTGTGAATCAGGTAAAAAATCTGAAAGAAAAAATAAACAAAAAAAAAACATGAGTCCGCTGCGACGAAAGGGACAAAGAGGAAAGGAGAGACGAGAGACAGTGGAGGAAGCAAGAGAACAAAGAAAGAAAGAAAGTAAGCTAATTTACTACCAGCAGCCGCAAGGCAGACGGTAGTGGCGAAGGTGGCTAAGACCAGCGAAGCACGTGTCGTATTTATGTTAAATATGACAGCAACAAGTTCGGAAAGGCAGCTAAGCGTTGAGAGCCAGAAAGAGGCAATTAACAATGGTAGACATGGTAAAGGAGTATGTCTAAACGACAGAGCAAAGTCAAACATAGAAAGATCCTACATTCTTTCTAAATATCAAAATTCAGGGCTCAAAAGCACAAACTTGTTGAATGAGCATCCAGAAATACGGAAGCAAAAACTACTTGTAGTGTTACCACAATACATTTTCAATACAAAGGCGAATAAAAAAAAAAAAAAAAGAAGAATGGAATAAAACATACCAAAGTTATCAAGAAAGGCGGAGCGGCGAAGCAAAGGTGCGTGCAAGCAGGTACCGAACCAAAAGAACTCTAAAGATCCCGCCAAAAGAAAACACACATCTCGTGGCTATCACGTTGCCGAGAGTAGATGATAACGGTAAGGCGTAATCAAAAAAGAAGGAAATTAATGCTAAGGAAGACTAGTTTATGCTAGAAACACACGGAAAGAGAGAGGAACAGATAAAAAAATAAAAATAAAGACAGTAACAAAAAAGGAAGTCGCAGCGAGACGAGAGGTAAAAGGGTAAACAAACAAAAACGGTGTACAGTGAAATTTGTCCCTAAGGACAGAAGGTTGACGTTAAAAACGTGACACTCCCCGCCTGAGATTGTGAGATCTCAAAAAGTTCGTGTGAAGGTTTCTAGTTCAAGTTTGTTTTACATTTGAAAGGTTGAAGGGCATGCATCTGGCAGGAAAAGGAAGGAGAAAAGAAGAAAAGGGAAGGAGTAGTAACAGTCCTGTGAAAAAATACGGTTTCTTCCTGAATTGGCGAGTTAGCGAGTTGAGCCGACTGACTGCTTGTTGTCGGTTATTAGGGAGTCGCAGTCTGTATGGCTTGAATGGAAGAGGTGCTACCCAGCTGCGGTGACTATTCCTTTTCACACCTTTTTCCATGATATCAAGGAAGATTCTGTCCTCTATGGAGTAGGCCAGTCGGTCGTCCTCCTTGGTCGGTTGAAAGACGGAGCTGCCCAATCCTTTCCGGCAGTATCTGTCCTTGGCTCGGAATGTGTTGGGACAAGGCTCAAAGTTTGTTGGGCGGCTTCCTTCTCGGGTGCTGGTGAAGAAGGTGTCAACAGTGGACGGTTTATGCGTCCCCCCGAGGCATACGTTCCCCACTATCACCCAGCCCATGTCTAATTTCTGAGCATAAGGGGCGCTGTGAGGACCATTGATCTGGGCGTGAACCTTATGTACTTCAATAATGTCACGACCCAGGAGTAGCAAAATAGGGGCCCGCTGGTCCAAGTTAGGAATCTCCGCTGCTATTCTAGCCAAGTGTTTGTGGTGAAGGGCTGCTTCTGGTGTTGGGATTTCTGCGCGATTATCCGCACATCAGCGCACTCGATTAATGTAGGAAGGGCAGGCTGGTGTGTCCATCTATGGATTCAATTCTGTATCCATAGGCTCTTCTCCCAACCGTTTCTATGACTCCAGCGCAAGTCCTAAGTGAGTAAGAAGATGTGGGGCCGTGGTCACTGAACAACTCGAAGAACTCTGGACGAGCAAGTGACTTGTTGCTATGTTAAATGCGATCACGGCATACATCCTGACTGCCTTGTTTCTCTGGCCTTGTGGATGCACCTTCACCAGGCAAATTTTTGAACAAGATTTTTTCGATTAAGTTGCTACCACAAACCTGTGTGCAGTGGGCTGTAATATCGTTGTTCTCCCCCGCCATGGTTTGGCATGGCTCTGATGGGTGTCGTTTGTGGTACGGGTTCAGGGTGAAGAGCAGTGTTGTGGCTTTCACTGCCACACTCAGCGCATTTAGGCTTGAACCTGCAGTCCTTGTTGACATGGGTAGCGCAACATCGGAAACAGATGTTGTGTTGTCTCAGATAGGCTTGTCTCTCTGGAAAGGGTTTGCTTCTAAATGCCCGGCAACTACGAAGAGGGTGAGGCAGGTTATGGATGGGGCATATCTCTTTGATATCTTTTGATGCAATCTGAGTCTTGTGGACTGAAATTTCTTTCCGCTGTGGTGTGGTTGTTCGGTCCATGTTTTGCGAGGGCCAAGTATCTGTGGTAAGACGAAAGCTGGGGTCGTTCCTATCTTCTGCTTGTTGTTCGATGAACTTAGTAAACACCGAGAATGGGGGGAATGGCACTTGGTGTTTCCGCTTGTATGTCGTGCCATGGGAGGTCCATTGGTCTCGTAGTGTAGGCGGAAGCTTCTCCACAATAGGCCTGAGACCCCGAGCAGTGTCCAGGAGGGCAAGGCCGGGAGATCACCATCGTCCTTAGCTGCTTGAGTTCGGTGAGGAGGTCGCTTAGCTCCCTCAGTCTGTCGTAGTCCTTGGTTACCTTTGGGAACCTATGGATCCTTTCAAGAGTGAGTCTTGATGGCTTCAGGGGACCCGTAGCATTTTTTCCAAACGCTTCCATATTTCCTGCAGGCCCTTCTCAGGATGGTTAAGGTAGGCTGTCCTTAAACGGTTGGCATGCTCAGTGGAGGCAGGGCCGAGCCATTTCACAAAGCAAGTCCATTTCTTCACTGGTGTCAAACGCAGGTCGACAATGGAGTTGCGAAAGGAACGTCTCCATGCTCGATAGTCCTTAGGTCTGTCCGAGAATTTCAGCATACTGGCTTGAAGTAATTCACGCCGGGCGAAGTAACGCATTAAGTCACTGGAGTGGTCATGGCGGTTTTCAGTTGAGCACCTCCTCCGATGATCCTCAGATGGATCGGGGAAGTAGCGGAAGGAGGCTTCTGAGTTGGTGGGCTGATCGAATTGAGATGCAGGAGAGCGTGTGTGTTGCAGGGCAGATGATTGTACCAATTGCGGGGCAGCAGGTTGTGAGTTGAGTTGGGCCGACTGTTCGGCCACATATTCTCTCGTCGCTGCATGGGATCAGCAGGAGTCTGGTCAAGGTGGATGCTGGATTTTTCTTCACTAAGCGAGACATACTCTTCAAAGGCCTTTAGTGCGGCTTCTTTGAGAGCTATCTCTCTTTGAGCCTCTAGAGTTTTTTTTCTTCAGACTCCATTTTAGCCTTTGCTTCGCGCAGTTTATTCTCTCTCTCCCACGAAGAGCAGGCCTGCTTTAGCCATCTCCAGTTCGGCACGGACAGCTAAGGCCTTAGATGAGGCAGAAGAGAACCTGGGCGCGTTCTATTAGAGACAACGGACTTTTGGTCCATGGCGTTTGTTGAAGCGTGCTGGGATCTGTTGCAGAGAAGGGTAGACAAAGAGTGCCGGAGCGTCACGGGTCGTTGAAAAGGCTAATAGCTGTCAAATTAGTTTTACGCCGAGCAGTCCAGTAGAGAAATCCGCAAGGAGCCGTGGAGAGGAAGCTGGTCACACTGCATTATGGAAGACCTTGCGCCACGTGCGAATAAATCTTTGATTTTTTACTGTGCTGCCTTAGACAACATGCTAAAAAACACGCTGCTTTAGACAGCCAGTGTAAACTCGAATTCACAAAACACGGACGAATTTCATTGGAAAACGAAAGATTTTATTCTGTGAATCAGGTAAAAAATCTGAAAGAAAAAATAAACAAAAAAAACATGAGTCCGCTGCGACGAAAGGGACAAAGAGGAAAGGAGAGACGAGAGACAGTGGAGGAAGCAAGAGAACAAAGAAAGAAAGAAAGAAGTAAGCTAACTTACTACCAGCAGCCGCAAGGCAGACGGTAGTGGCGAAGGTGGCTAAGACCAGCGAAGCACGTGTCGTATTTATGTTAAATATGACAGCAACAAGTTCGGAAAGGCAGCTAAGCGTTGAGAGCCAGAAAGAGGCAATTAACAATGGTAGACATGGTAAAGGAGTATGTCTAAACGACAGAGCAAAGTCAAACATAGAAAGATCCTACATTCTTTCTAAATATCAAAATTCAGGGCTCAAAAGCACAAACTTGTTGAATGAGCATCCAGAAATACGGAAGCAAAAACTACTTGTAGTGTTACCACAATACATTTTCAATACAAAGGCGAATAAAAAAAAAAAAAAAGAAGAAGAATGGAATA